ATCTATGCACTCTCGCTTACTGTTCGTCTACACGAATCACGATGCTTCGACCAGTTATCAGATTGAATAATACAGAATCGATTCTTTTGTCCGCCTCGCCGGTCGGCAAAGAATGATTGAATCGCGAACGTGACGCGGCCATCGCACTTACTTATGTACATAGGTATCGCGAGTCGCAGACTGGGTGGTGAATTAAGAGTGCGCATAACCAAATTAGACTGATCGTGATTTATCGGCCCGTTCGATCCGGCATTTGTTTAACCCTGGAATGAAAATGACGAGTCTCACTCACCCTTCTCCTCCATGCGAGACCTGATTCTGTGATTTATTTTACAAATCTAATGTTTCATAACTAAAATGAATTTCTTATTTTCGCAAAGAAATTCAATGGAACCTGCTACGGTCCAATTGTTTTTATAATAATTGTGTCCACAAAGTTGCGACCAAATAAAATAGCATAAGCATGTCAGACGAAATAAATCGTCAGGCAAGGGGTTAACTCGTGACTGTTTTGCTGGACAAGCTGGCTGTTGCCGCGCCACCTCCTGAGGCCACCGATCAATTGGAATCTTCACCGTTTGCCCGAGCATTAACTGGCGGGCAAACGCAACGAGCAGATGCGATCTTCACTTATGTAATTGCCGAACAAGCCACTATCGCGTAACAATGCCGCCGAAAAGAATCATTTCACTTTCCTCGAAAAGGGTACTTTCGCCATTGAACCTTCTATTCTCACTCGCCAGCCAATGGAACACGTTTAAATTGCTTCACTTAATATTTTGTAATTTTCGTAATTTGAATATTTTGACCAACTCTATTTCGTGTAGTTTACGTCGTGTATTCATTTAAATTTGTAATATCTGTTCAACGATGCAGCGGTTCACTTATCAGGCTGAGCAGTAATCGAGGTAAATTTTAACGAGCGAACTAATCAATTCAAATTTTCACTGGGATAGAGCTTCCGTTTACATATGTTTCATAGTTGATTTTCTTTAGGTTTCTTTAGCTCTTTAGCTTTCTCTAATTCTATATTGTATATTCAGATCCGAAGAAGATAGAATATAGTTCGCGATCATTGAAAATAATTCATACACATGGTTTACAAAGGAGCCGTGAAATATTTTCAGCGAACACATTTCCGAGTACTGTTCGCATGAAAGAAAACATCCGTTGGTAGCAACGCGAGCACGCTGTATATGTATATTCTGTGGAACGTAATAAAAGTAAAAAACGAAAAAAAAAGCGGAAAACACTCGAACCTCGTCGTACGTCACGCGGCGAATTAAGAGCGCGCGAATTTTAGCAACATCTGCAGAAACAGTGACGCAACTCGACGTTTCCGAATTAAAAACGAAAGCGGTCCACTTCTAGGCAATATCGCCGATACATTTCGAATAAATACGTAACGTCCGACTCGCGCAAACGTGTGCGACACGCGCACGCAAAATACAGAATATGTAACGAATGCACGAACACGGCTCGTACATTACATTGCGTGTTTACATACGCTTCGATCAAACTATTTTCTCTTCACAGAAATTGTGTAATTTTCCAACGTTCGTGTTCAAATTCGAACGATACGTATGCATATATTTTTGCCAATCATTTTCTTCATTTTCGGACCGATAAGAAACATGTTACAAAAAGAAAAACTGGATGAAAAAATCAGTGGAGAATATTTTATCCGTACGCGTGTACATTAAACGGTGTTTAACACGTTCGCTGCCATATTTGTAATGGCTGTAACCCTATATTTTACATAATGAAAATGAAATTAATCCTATAGATATTGTTATTAGGAATTATAAACTACAACGTTATATTTAGGAACTCAATGACTCGTTTCAGTTTCATTTTTCTAATATTTTGTTTAGATTTATTTGGTTGAAGAAAATATAATTGAGAAGACCGTCACCGGTGACCGGAGCTTTCAAATTGCTTGAAAACAATTACAATAAAAAAATTGATATTGAATCAAACTATTTAGTGACACGAGAAGCTGGATAATAGCGTAATATGAATACTGTAATACGAAAACATTAATAATTATATTTAATACTATTTTCTTCTGTTATAAAGGAATAAATATTACTATAACAAAACGCTCAAAATTCTCGTGGCAGCGGACGTGTTAAATATAATATACCGGTCCCAAATGTGAAAACTCAACGAGGAACATCATCGTTTCTATCGATTTCATAATTTCCATCGTAAACGAGCGAACCGGGTAAATGTTTCTCGCAGTGACTATTTATAATCAACAGCTCGCGGATGTTTATGCAACCTCAAGTATGGGCAGACTAATTTATGGATGCGGGAATCAAATACAGACATAATAATTCAACGAATGGTTTTAACGATGCGAGAAAAATTATATCATCGTTAAAGTTTCATTATTTCACTCTATTACACTCGGTTGCACTTTAAGCAAACGCGATAAAACCCGCTTAAACGACCGTCCCGTAGTGTTTCCCAATGTCCCGATTTATTTTTTCACTTTACGATGTCTGGGTAACCGTACAAGTAATTCGAGAAGCAAACAGCAAAATTTGATTATACTTGGAACTCTAAATACCCTTATCTATTTTCAAACAGTTAACTATATACCGCCTCATTGTCTTTCATTTTGCATTTTAACACTAGAACTACCGAGCACTGAAATTGACATTTTGAAACGAAACAATTTCTTAGATAACTCCCCGAGAAGCACTTGCTATTTTTTTAATAATCGCGGAACGAAGAAATCTGGAATGGGCCATTTTGACCTGTTCGATGGTTCTAGTGTTAAATAATATTTTAGTTGATTATTGTCCACTATTCACGTTGAGCAAAATATTAAATTGTTACAACCAAGAAATCGCTGAAAAAAAGTTTCCAACTTTCAGCGGATCCGAATGATCAGCTGTTTCACTCGATCAATATTTTCGATGGCTCCGAGGTACACTATCGCTACCACGTGACCGCATTTCAGCGTTGAGCATTCACCTTGCCCGGCGAGTGCACGTGCACTCGGCGAATTTTTCGGATCGATTTTCCTGGTATACCGGGTCCCTGTACGAAAAAAACCGTTTCACGATAACGGTCGATTTCAGGAAAGGAATCGTTTTAACGAAAATTTAAACGAAAGGAAAGATGGAGAATATTTGTTGTTTTCTCAGTTCTGCGTTATAGGCTACAGTTACAATTCACCGATTGATATTCGTTTCGAATTCAAACACGAATTGAAACTACTCGACCTATAAACACATGCAAGAAGTTCCGACACACGGTTTACATTCTTCCCAGTTGACATCACAGGGTCATTGTGATCATTGTGTTTACGGTACTTCTAAATAAGTTTCCTCATCCTCGTTTCAAACGAGCCTACAATTGTAATGTGCAGTGTACTGTACAGCCGGCAAAAAGTCATTCTCGACAAGAGTAATTTTTCCTTAAATGATTTGCGCACAAAAGTAAGGACACCGACATTAGCGCAATTAAATATGTAATTCACACGCGTTAGGAATTAATGTACGATGAATTGTACAATTTTGTTTGATTATGGCTGTTAGAACAATGATTGCAACCTCTATCGGGCTGTCGTACGATTCTCTTGTAAAATTTGTCGTATTGCAGGTTAAACGAATTAGGACGTGTATACGTGCGCAATAATCAATTGTAACGATTTTCTCGATTTCACCGTTGAAATAGTGTTATTACACAAATTATTAACGATTTTAATGCATTGACATTGAATTGAAAGAAACTGTTTCTTACTAAGTTAGAAAATAAATTGTTTTAAAATATTTAATTGTCTATATTTATTAGAAGAACGTAAAGTTATTTAAGTCTTAAATCCCTAAACATTTTCGATGCGTAGAACAACGTTTTTGAAAGTGAACGTTAATTAAAAACGAAGTTTTCGACAAAAAGAACGTCACTTGGAAGTGTAAACTAGTTTTATCGAATACATCCCCTTTTCCATTTTATTGCTGCTAATGGATCTTTATATCAATTGATGAAAGGAAGTGTCGATAAACTTAAATATTTAAGTACAAACAATAACGTTGTTATAACCGCCGCATACCAGTACCGCAGAACTGCAATGCACTTCGGGTAATCGTACGGTTCAGATTTAACATCGTATCACAGTCACCGGGTAAATGTTTCAAGGTGTAATTACCTTTCCGTCGAATCTCTATCCACTTTTCCTACCTTGCATAAACAACAGACGAACGAGAAGTGTACACACGACAATTACGTCCGAGAGTCATGAGTGCAACGAGTTGAGTACTAAAACAGGAGGTCATCGGCAGTTTCTCAGCAAAAAACCTGTTGCTTCGCGTTACGTTGTCTCGAAGTTTAATCTTCATTGTAGCCATGTAGGAAAAGTGCCAATCGAAAACTAGAGCCTCGACAAAGCACCAGAATAACGTGAGACCGTCAATAGGTTGGCTAGTTAAATACAATTCGCACAAGGAAGGTGAAAGAAAAGCTTGATACGGTCCAACACTGCGGACTTCACAATCACGACTGTCGTTCTCGTTTAGAATGAAATTTCGGAAAGCGATATTTTGTTTGATGTACAACACTTTCTCTGATTAAAAAATGTGTGCGATACATTTGCAAGATAGAGAGATAAAGTTATCGAATCGATATATTTCGTTAAGATTTCACCGATAACTTTGAACACGGTCGGATGGTAATTGACGGAAAGGTACACACTCATAACCGTCAATCACCGCGTACGAAGTCCTTTACCGTAAATCGTGTTCACTGAATTTTTCGCTGAAAATTCTGTACTTTTTGTATGATATACACTTACCGAAGACAACTAATCCTGGCTGTTGCACAATAAACACTTGGCAAACACAATAAGGACGACATAACCCGCGCACCAAACTAAACCGGCCATATTGTTTACTGGAACAGTATTTGGCCGTGTGCCCGCTTTCACTGTTTTGCGGATCTCTCGTGAAAACGATGGAAACACTCTCTGTTGTTGAAGAAAATTAACTTTGTTCAGCGGCTCGTCTGCATCGGTAAATGAAATGTCGTTGCTCGATGGTAGATGTAGAACCCGATTTTTATCGACAGAAATCATCCGTGAATTGTGGAACCTGTTTGGTTCTGTAGGTGGAGTTAATGATCTAGAGTAATATAAATATTCACCTATGTTTATCAAGAATCGTTGTTCAGATGTAGTGCATTTTTATTAATACTAATTTCTCGAAAATCCTACGTATGTTATTTGCTGCCACTTTATCATTAGTTACTAACATATAGGATTCTTAAATGATGGTACTAATGTCATTCAACAGGGTCGTGTAAATAATGTGAGTAAACAAAACAGTTTCGTTGGTGACAGACGTTATATATTTATTTAGCAAGTAAACTTAATCCAACAACATATTGGAAAAATGGATATATACGAACAATTTTACTCATAGAATGTATTACTGTAGAGTAATATATTTTTATTAAAAATAAATTTTATAACTTGATTTTGCATGAAAATTAATTTTGTTAATTTCATCAAGCTCAGCTTCTGTAATAACGTGCTTATTCATATAAAGTAAAACTTGTTTTTAAGATTCTATTAAATTGCAGTAGTCGCATAGTATTTCTGGATTTCAGAAATAACCATAAATACATTATGCCACGTCAAAAATTTCATAAGAAAACTCCCCTTATTGGGGAGGACACAAGAATTGCTGTGAATTTAACATTGAAAAAGTTATTAGAAACCCCAGAACAAAAAGAATTAGAATTTCCTTCATCGTACACAGCAGAAGAAAGAGCCTATATTCATAAACTTGCGTATGAATTAGGATTAAAATCTAAAAGTAGAGGGTGAGTAAAACATAATTTGTTTTAATTATATTTTGATAGGGTTTACAATTTTCTATTTGTTCTAATAGTAAAGGTACAAACCGGTTTTTAACGGTTTATAAGAGGGAGGGTTCAACTATAGTACAAGCTGATGCTGTAATAAAGTTACAAAAAGCATCAAGACATAGTATTTATAATTTACTACAAAGTTTTCCACTGAATCATAAAGAATGCCAGGATTTACTACCGCCAATTGAACGTGAACGACCTCTCAATGCAGATGGTATTTATGTTATTCTAAATTTATATTTTTATTTAGACATCTCAATAATTATTGAATTTATTATTTTTAGTTTCCTTAAATACAAACACTACAGCTATGGGCAGGTTAAACAACAGTGTGTCACAAGTACCACAGCTGAAAACTAATTTTGACGTGTTAAACTTTCGCAAATCTCTGCCAATTTTTAGTGTTAGAGAAGATATTCTAAATGCTTTAAATACTAATGAAGTGGTAATAATAGGAGGTGAAACTGGTAGTGGTAAAACTACTCAAGTTCCTCAATTTATACTTGAACATTGCCAACAAAGGCATGAGCCTTGTAGAATTATTTGCACTCAACCAAGACGACTATCAGCTGTTTCTGTGGCTGAGAGAGTAGCATTTGAAAGGGACGAAAAAATTGGTCAAACATTTGGTTATCAAATAAGACTTGAGAGTAGAGTTGCTCCAAAAACGCTTTTAACCTACTGCACAAATGGTGTATTGCTTAGGACACTTATGGCAGGTGATTCTGCTTTAAGTACTGTTACACATATTATCGTAGACGAAGTTCACGAACGTGATAGATTCTGTGACTTCCTTTTGATTGCACTCAAGGATGCATTGATAAAACATAGTTCTTTAAAACTTATACTTATGAGCGCTACATTAGATGTTAGCATTTTTGTAAAATATTTTAGCAAGTGTGCAGTTATTAATGTAATGGGCAGAATATTTGATGTAGACACATATTACCTTGAAGATATTTTGAAAATAACTGGTTACATGACAAAAGAGATGCTTACTAAAAAAGAAGAACTTATGAATAAAAAGAATCAACGGAAAGTGTTAGAGTCTTGGACTCAATATAAGCCCCAACAATCAGGTTCTAGTAGTTCAAATGAAAGATCTTTATTACCTGCTCCTGTCTTAGATCAACAGTGTGAACCTATTCCAGAAAAGGTGAAATTAGAACCTTGGTTAATAGAAGAAATGGATAAAAGTATTTCTGATGCATGGTTACATGGCGGTGAAGATAATTTTGCACAACTTTTATATTTCATACTTTCTGAAAATGTTTCTGTAGACTATCAACATTCCACAACATCTGTAACTCCACTTATGGTGGCTGCAGGTAGAGGATGTATAAATACTACAGAACAACTTTTAAATTTGGGAGCAAATTTAAATTTACGAGCTGCCAATGAATGGACTGCATTAGACTGGGCAAAAAATATGAATCAAACTGAATGCGCAGAGTTAATAGAAGCTTATATGAAAACTTATGATTGCACATCACAAGGTGATGCAATAGCACAAGCTAAAAATATTTCACTTTCAGAAGAAGACAAGCTTTTGTTAGAGATATACCACCACACATTTAATGATGACAATATTAATTATAATCTTCTTCTACAATTGATTTTACATATTCATAAGAAAATGCCTCCTGGTTCTCTTTTAGTATTTTTGCCAGGATACGATGACATTGTTACTATGAGAGAGAAAATAAATAATGAAGAAAAAGAAATGAATCAGAGTTTACGATATACTTTATATGTGCTCCATTCTAACATGCAAACTTGTGATCAGAAAAAAGTATTCAAGCCCAGCCCTCAGGGAACACGAAAAATTATTCTTTCAACAAATATAGCTGAAACAAGTATCACAATTGACGATGTTGTTTATGTGATTGATTCAGGAAAAGTTAAAGAAAAATCTTTTGATGCTCTATCAGGCGTATGTATGCTCAAATCTAATTGGATTTCTCAAGCTTGTGCTAAGCAACGTAGGGGTAGAGCAGGAAGATGTAAAAAAGGGATTTGTTATAGACTATTTTCTTCACTTCAGTATAACAGCATGCAGCCATATCAAACTCCAGAAATTTTAAGATTACCTTTGCAAGAATTATGTTTATATACAAAACATTTAGCACCAGGAAACACCCCCATTGCTGAATTTTTAGATCGAGCTTTAGAACCACCTTCTAATATAGTTACAAGAAATGCAGTACAGTTATTAAAAACTATTGATGCGTTAGACCCATGGGAAGATTTGACTGAATTAGGAAGTCATTTACTCGATCTACCAGTAGAACCGCGGTTGGGAAAAATGTTATTGTATGCTGTTGTTTTGAAATGTTTAGATCCAGTCTTAACTATTGTGTGCAGTTTAGCTTATAAGTACGTAACACTTATTAATCCTAAAATCGTATTATTTAAGTCAATGGAAATATTTAAATACTAAACAATTAATTACAGAGATCCCTTCGTTTTACCTTCACAACCATCACAAAAAAGAGCTGCAACTGCAGCACGAAAAAGATTTGCCACTAACACCTATTCTGATCATATGGCTGTATTACGTGCTTTTCAAGGATGGCAAAATGCACGCGCACGTGGCAAGGAACGTTCATTTTGTGAACAAAATTTTATTTCCGCCGCTGTAATGGAGATGGTAGTTGGAATGCGTACACAACTTCTTGGACAACTTCGTGCATCTGGATTTGTTAAAGCTAGAGGTCCAGGAGATATTAGAGATTTGAATTCTAATTCAGAGAATTGGGCAGTAGTAAAAGCAGCTTTAACTGCTGGTTTATATCCAAATTTAATAAGAGTCGACAGAGAACACATGCAACTAAGAACACAGTATGTTATATATTTCACATATTAAATTTTGTTAGGATTTTAACATGATTGATAACAAATGTTGTAGGAAAGAAGTAATAGTATACTTTCATCCATCATCAACTCTAAGGGATTATCCAAAGTCTCCAAGAGTAACATCTGTACAGACACATATAGCTAATGTTGCATCTTTGCCTTGTGAATGGTTACTGTATGAAGAAATGAGTCGTACAGGTCGTTTCTGTCATGTAAAAATGGCTACTTTAGTTAATCCGTTAACAGTGGCATTGTTTTGTGGGCCAGCACGATTGTCAGTGGACGTAATTTATGAAGCAGAATGTAAATACCATTGTACTCTCTTCTATTTCATATTTTTTTGCTATAAATTTTAGCATTTATATTATTGATTTATTTATTGTAGCTGTGCCAGAAAGTGAATCAGATTCAGAAGTTGATGAAAGTAATGAGGGCACAATTTTCAAACTCGATGATTGGGTAGTGTTTAAACTGGATCCTGAGACTGCACAGTTTTTCTTACATTTAAGACAAAAATGGAATGCCTTATTCTTAAGGCGTATGAAAACACCAAACAAAGCTATGTCACAATTAGATGAAAAAGTAGTGAGTACATTAGTAAGCGTAATTACGAACGAAGAACAAGCATGTGGATTACAACAACCATCTGGTATTGGTCAAAGACCACGTCCGTTAATAGTTGATTATTATCCTGCCAATGCTAGAAGAACAGACGACTTTGTAGAGGTAAAATTTTAAATTTGTGAATTGAGATTAATATGTGGAAATTCATATATTATTTTTTAAATCATCTGTATGTTAATATAAACATTTTTTATTTTTTAGAGAAATTTTTAAAGTTGGACAGAAGAAGAATATTTTATTATGTATAATTCATAGAAAATATTTAATTCTCTTGCTTCCTATATGTAATTCATTGTAGGATTGCAATGGTATTCCTGTTTTTATAAAAGTTTTATTAAAAGTGAATAGCTTACATTTTAAATGGACAGGGTAAAATAAAGAATTGCCACTGATTATAGCATATCAGTTCTCATAGTTAAATATTTATTCAGTATTAACAAAAATTTCAAAAGGTCTATAAACCTTCTTTCTGCTTGAGACACTGTAAGAAATAATAATGTTCAATCACGTACTATGTACATCTTAAACATATCCTTTACTATTATCATTTACTAATTCTGGCTATTCGATACTAATATCAAGTCTATACTTATCTTTCTTTAGAAGATTTTCTTGAAAAGTTCACACATATGTATTAAGTATGTTATACAATATTGATTATTAACAATAGATAAAGTAAACAGATTATATATATATATAATTCTACAATTCTACGGCTTATCATGATATCTAGTTTATTGTAATGGTGCTTTTATGAAGTTGCTTCACATTTCCAATTTACTACATAAACAGTAAGTATGAACACCATGTAGGAATCGAACTAGATCTTTGTACCTTCTAAAAAATGTGATGTACTGTATAGATATTAATTTTAAGTGATTTATTTACATTTTTACTGTGCTTAAAGTACTTAAAGTTATAATTTACTATACAGAATAATCGCAATAAAAAAACAGTCATTTGCAAGTAAACAGATAACTTTAAATTATTAGAAAGAAATTGAGTATTAATATTATTTTTATTATTATTATTATTATTATTATTATTATTGTATCACA